CCTTAGAGCCCTAGCCCGTTCCTGTTCTGCTAGCTTCTCCCTGCTTTCACATAGAGACTTCGCCCCACCCTAGGTTTCGTACCTTATGCACAGTTCCGTGGGGGGGGGGAGAGGGGAGTCATTGCTGCAAAGTTGACCACCGAGCTACCTTTTGCAGCAGTTTCTGACCCTCTTTCTCTCTCTCCCACCCCCCCCAACCACAAAGCAGAGCTGTCCTTCTTTGGGTAAGCCCACACAAATTCTGCCCCACCTTTAGTTGTGGTGCAGTCATTAGCAATGACAACGGTGAAAGAAGAGAACTGTCTGAGTACTCAGGCTTCTATGTTTGATTTTAGCTGATGTGCAGTAAGACTTTATAGTTTTCAATAAGAACAGTACTTGGATCACCTCCAAACTAAACTTTCTTTATATACACAGTTACTGAACACAATTTCATATAACAGGGAGTTTAACATAAAACATCTGAAGTTTAATTCAGGATTGATCCAAGCAGAGGCCTGCCACCAGTGCAAAGTAAAGGTGGCCAAATGTCTTGTTTCAAATAATATTTGTTATGAATGTAGCTTCGTTTTTGATTAGTAAAGCAATCCTGATTTCTGTAATCATCTTTTGTTATTTATAAATATTTACTGAATAATCTGAATCACAGAATTTTCAGACTCGGGGGTTTTCTCAAACTGTTCCCTTCGATTATTCACATTGTTATTTGTGTTGTGTGATTGGTCACCTAAGGGACAGGTTATCATTTTTGCCGCCTGATTGGATGACTGGAAAAACTTTAAACAGAAGAATAGTCTAAAGAAAGCGCTTTTCTAACGTAAATGCCTGAAAGTTTTGGGATTTGCGAAGAATTACACAAGTGCAAGATTTTGTACAAATAGCAATTCCATAGGGAACCAAATCTGGAACCTTTAATATCAGGTGGTTTGTTTTTTACTAGTATTCAACCAGCTTTCTTGTAAGGATAAGAAAATCCTATGTATTTCTGCACTGCTACATATCTGTAATTTCACTTACTTCCCTTCAGAGCTGTAACTGTTTATGCTGCCGTCAGTGGACTCCCGACTTGGCTGCCGAACCATACGATTCCTCATTTCTGCTGCCATCCCTGTTTCTGTGCTTCTCTGTATCGTGCTTTTTAGCTTCTTGTTGCCAGCCTCTGAAAGTAGAAAAATAAAAGGAAGCATTAGCATTGCGTTCTAGGATCAGGTGTTTTCTTGCACATTTTTGTCTGATCACAATTTGCCCATTTCCATTCAAAACAAGACATCAGAAACAGATTATTCTAATCAAATGTAAATAATCTCTCTTTTCTAGTCCCTAGTTGGTGGTCTCTCTCAGATGGAATCCACTTGAAAGATAATGGAAACACTCTAGCTTTCTGGCTGCAACTCTGAGATCATCATGTTACACAAAGATATTATGTACTTGTATATTTCCTTTATGAATTGCCCCATTCAAAGGAGCTTCCATCACAGGTTACTTAAAATTAAGTTTGAATTTCACAACAAAGAATGACTCTTCACATTTAAACAACTGGAGTCCCAAAATATGATGGTTGAGTCTACCACAGCATCAGGTTTTGAAGGTGACAATACAGTCACTGATGTTAAATGTATTCTGCTACAGTTATGACAAGTGCTGGAAAAATGAGGCTGGTTCAGACCAATTCCATAATTAAAGTTCCATAATTAATTACTTTTGACTTCACAAATCTTTCATCAGAAATGCCTCTAACAAGTCTCTTGCTGCTCTGATAATTTTTGTTGACTACAGACTTGCAATGTTCTGTTAGTTCATGTGCCTTCTACTAGGCCTCAGATTTCACTGGTAACATTATTCTCTTTCATGAAGTACTATGTTTGGCAAACGTTCATATGACTGCACGAAGAATCATTTTTCTGTACTTCTCCCTCATATGTAAATGCTCTTACTTTTGGTCAGCACCTTGATTCAAAGCCAAAATGGGGGAAACACACCTCACCACATCCATTTCTCAGTCTGTTTGTAATTTAGGGCAGTATCTGGGGAGGGGAGGACCACTTCCAAAAGCACCTGTTTTGGAAGTTGAACCGGAGTCAAAACCAGGGCCGGCTCCAGGCACCAGCTTCTCAAGCAGGTGCTTGGGGCGGCCGCTCCAGAGAGAGAGGCGGCAGGTCCAGGTATTCGGCGGCAATTCGGCGGACGGTCCCTCACTCCACCTGGGAGTGAAGGACCTCCCGCCGAATTGCCGCCGCAGATCGCGATCGCGGCTTTTTCTTTTTTTTTTTTGGTTTTGGCTGCTTGGGGCGGCCAAAACCCTGGAGCCGGCCCTGGTCAAAACAATTCATTTTCTCTGGTTCTTGTCTAGAATGGGGAGGTTTTTGCTCGAATTTGGATTGGCCACCTGAGCCATTCAATACCCTGGGCTATCCATCAGCCGAGAAGAAATCAGCTATCCCCAATGATCACAACTAGGGTGGGAGTTCTTTGCTCCATTTTAAAGCCAACAGATGCAAGTTCCTGCCAATTAAATGCAATGCAGTCCATTTAATATGCCTGGCTATGCATTAGCTGAGAAAATATCCCCTATTACCCATCAGTGTTTGTGTGAGGCAGAGCTACACACGCCATTCCTGGGTTGTGCATAGGTGGCTCTGGAAGCAATATGGACTGTGTGTGTTCTCTGAGTCTACTGCCAGGGAATTTACCCCTTTCTGCAGAATTATGCTCCAGAATCTCAATTTTCATTTTAAAATAAATGATGTTTCTAGCCATTATAGTTGTAAAAATGATACTGGGTTCACGTTTTCCACATTAACTGGTGGAATGAGTCTGCAGAGAGCCTGAAATCATAGCTCTGGGAGATATAAACAGCCCGGTGACTCAGCAGAATTCCACCATATGCTGCAGCCAACAGCTTGATACTTTGGGCTGGTCCACACTAACCCCCCAGTTCGAACTAAGATACGCAACTTCAGCTCCGTGAATAACAGAGCTGAAGTCGAAGTATCTTAGTTCGAACTACAAGGTACTTACCATGGGTCCACACGCGGCAGGAAGGCTCCCCCGTTGACTCCGCGTACTCCTCTCATGGAGCAGGAGTACCGGTGTCGACGGAGAGCACTTCTGGGATCGATTTATCGCGTCTAGACAAGATGCGATAAATCGATCCCAGAAGATCGATTGCTTACTGCCGAACCCGGAGGTAAGTATAGACGTACCCTGTGTTTCCTCTCTCCCTGCACTGCTGGGATTGATCTGCAGTTGCCCTCGCTCTCCAGCTGTATCCACATGGGGAAGTTACATTACACCGCATATTCCCACCACTCTTCTACAGGGCTGGCCAGGCTGGGACGCCGGAGACCAATTTGCAGGTAGAAAAGAAGGCTGGTGAACCGGGCTGCCCTGAGAACAGTGCAATAGCTAAGGCCCTGGAAACAGGACAGATGAAACACTGAAGCTAGGTACAAACTCCTCCCACCCATGGCACAAAAGGCGGAAGGAGATTATAATCTGGACTGCCAGGACTGAGGATGCTGTTGTTAGGGTTAGGGAGTGGAGTCAAGGTGCATGTAATGTATAGTGAATAAAACCATCCTTGAAAATAATCATGGTTGAAAATATCCACTGATTACAGTAATGAGGATTCTAGCTATGAGCCATAGCTGTGTTTGTTCAGGGATGGGCTTGGATGGGAACGAAGAGTATTTAATAGAATAGAATAAGTTACCACTGCCATGGAATACAGGTGTTCTTGCCACTGAATGTAGTGATTTTTGCCATGGAATTTAAGGGTGTGCACCATGGACTGGGATCCCATTGTACTGTGGAGTATGCCTGGCCCCAGCCATATATGATTCTGACAGGCTTGATTTCTTGTTGAGTTGTGAGCATTGAACTGGCTAAAGAGACATAAGAACATAAGAATGGCCATACTGGGTCAGATCAAAGGTCCATCCAGCCCAGTATCCTCTCTGCCGACAGTGGCCAATGCCAGGTGCCCCAGAGGGAGTGAACCTTACAGGTAATGATCAAGTGATCACTCTCCTGCCATCCATCTCCATCCTCTGACAAACAGAGACTAGGGACACCATTCCTTACCCATCCTGGCTCATAGCCATCAATGGACTCAATCTCCATGAATTTATCTAGTTCTCTTTTAAACCCTGTTATAGTCCTACCCTTCACAACTTCCCCAGGCCAGGAGTTCCACAGGTTGACTGTGCGCTTTGTGAATAACTTTTTCAGAACATTTTCTAAGTCACTATTCTTTGCATAACTGTTCTGGCTTCCTCCCTTTTCCCTCAGTCACCACTCTCCATTGCGTTTTACAATTACATTCTAAAGATCCTGCAAAATTCTAAATATTCTGCAATATAATCAGAAATATACCATACAAGTAACCTAAAATAGTGTGGTAAGATACATAACAGATTTTTTTGAGATACTGAGAATAGTCTTCACTCAAGATAAATAAGCTCAAACACATACCTCACATATTTTCCAAGTCTTACACTAGCCAGTTATATGCATTACCCTTTATTTATTCCACTCATACTGCCAAAAAGAAGATATCAAGCTTTATTTTACTGGCATGTTCTTTAAAAATTCTCAGCAAAGCTAATTCTAACAAGATACTTTAAAGTGGGATTGCATTGCCTTTTAGTATTTTTGAAACTCCTTTGGAAATTTAGGTTGGTCTCTGATATAAAACATACTTGGGATCAAGCATCAGTTGCTTGATGAATTGCAGGATCTGCCCAGTTAACAGGTGGGCTGGTTTTTTTTCTTTTTGTTGGTTTGTTTAAAGCTTTTATTTTTACCTCTTAGAAGAGTGTTTGAGGTCTGGCACCTATGCACATACACTTTTGAGACTGCATCTACATGAATGTACAGGCTTATTAAAATAGCTTAGAAAGATACCTATGCAGTGATATAACTGAGAAGTTTTTCTTCTTTTGCCTGGAAATTTATTTCAGAAGCTATGGTGCCAGCTTCTGATTTTTATTATTATTTGACATGGATAATTAATTTCAGTTTCATGTTATAGGTATTTTCCTATGTTGTGTGAATTAAATTACATCCATTGTGAAGACCATGGACAAATTGGTTCATTCCTGAATGACGTGTAAGGCCAAATTTTCAAAGGTGCTTCAAAATGGCTTCCAAGCTTATATAAACACTTTCATCTAAGGCTTTCCATCTGCAAAAACTCAGATTAGTGTGCACAAATTGCATCTACACAAGTAGCATAACAACGATGAGTGAAGATCAAGTATAATAAATACTTTTTGCAGGTTTAATAACAGGTCCAGAAGGATCTCCAAGAGATCACAAAGCAGCCATCTGCAGCTGCATAACACAGTTAGCTTGTGTAAACTATTAGCTACTGTAATATAACCCTTACAATCCACCAACCATTCCTACCAAGGAACTTGGATGGCTCTTGTATCCCATTTTACCTATCAAGACAATATCCTTTCCAGTGATGTCTCTGTTGAGCTGAAGGGGAAACATTGCCTTTGGTTTTCTTACAGACAGGTTAGGAATAAAGCTTCAGACCAAAAAGAAAGTTCACCATGTAATAATTTTGCCTTCACTACTTTATTTTAAACTTGCACAAAACAGCAAGAGAATTGATGCTTCCACTGCCTGCAAACCATCTTGAGATTTAAGAGCCAGGATCAAAAGGGCTGTTACTACTGGAACTGAAGCTAAGACATAAAGGTACACAGTCAACTAAGCTGTCCATACCATCAGGAAGTTCAACTAAAGATTCCCTAAGACCTCTCTGTGGACAACTAAGTCAATGAAATGTAACCTAAAGAAGTCAAATGAACACTTTAATAAAACTTAAAACATACAACATTGCTAAGTCTATGAATGAAGGGCAATAATGCAGAGGAGCACTGCATGGCTCAAGGACCAAAGATTCTTCTTGCCAAAGATACTCATGGATGCAGAGAAGAAAACCTAAAAGGACCACAGCTCCAAGCCATCTTTGACAAGATCTGCCGGGAGTGCGACCACATCAGTGGTTCACACACCGACTGTGAGACACTAGCTAGATTAAGCCAGGCGATACTTTCAAGCAGCATATCATGGGTCTTCATCAATCCAACAGACTGTTTCTTATAGCGACCACACAGCACATTCAATGAAAACATGAGATTCCCC